AAGGAGAGTTACTGTGATACCAAGAGGCTGTTCGGTTAGGTGGACAGGGAAAGGAGAGTTACTGTCATACCAAGAGGCTGCTCTGTTGGGTTGACAGGGAAAGGAGAGTTACTGTGATACCAAGAGGCTGTTCAGTTGCGTTGTCAGAGAAAGGAGAGTTACTGTGATACCAAGAGGCTGTTCAGTTGCGTTGTCAGGGAAAGGAGAGTTACTGTGATACCAACAGGCTGTTCAGTTAGGTGGACAGGGAAAGGAGAGTTACTGTGATACCAAGAGGCTGCTCTGTTGGGTTGACAGGGAAAGGAGAGTTACTGTGATACCAAGAGGCTGTTCAGTTGCGTTGTCAGAGAAAGGAGAGTTACTGTCATACCAAGAGGCTGTTCAGTTGGATTGACAGGGAAAGGAGAGTTACTGTCATACCAAGAGGCTGCTCTGTTGGGTTGACAGGGAAAGGAGAGTTACTGTCATACCAAGAGGCTGTTCAGTTGCGTTGTCAGAGAAAGGAGAGTTACTGTCATACCAAGAGGCTGCTCTGTTGGGTTGACAGGGAAAGGAGAGTTACTGTCATACCAAGAGGCTGTTCAGTTGCGTTGTCAGAGAAAGGAGAGTTACTGTGATACCAAGAGGCTGTTCAGTTGCGTTGTCAGAGAAAGGAGAGTTACTGTCATACCAAGAGGCTGCTCTGTTGGGTTGACAGGGAAAGGAGAGTTACTGTCATACCAAGAGGCTGTTCAGTTGCGTTGTCAGAGAAAGGAGACTTACTGTCATACCAAGAGGCTGTTCAGTTGGATTGACAGGGAAAGGAGAGTTACTGTGATACCAAGAGGCTGCTCTGTTGGGTTGACAGGGAAAGGAGAGTTACTGTCATACCAAGAGGCTGTTCAGTTGCGTTGTCAGAGAAAGGAGACTTACTGTGATACCAAGAGGCTGCTCTGTTGGGTTGACAGGGAAAGGAGAGTTACTGTGATACCAAGAGGCTGCTCTGTTGGGTTGACAGGGAAAGGAGAGTTACTGTGATACCAAGAGGCTGTTCAGTTGCGTTGTCAGAGAAAGGAGAGTTACTGTGATACCAAGAGGCTGTTCGGTTAGGTGGACAGGAAAGGAGAGTTACTGTCATACCAAGAGGCTGCTCTGTTGGGTTGACAGGGAAAGGAGAGTTACTGTGATACCAAGAGGCTGTTCAGTTGCGTTGTCAGAGAAAGGAGAGTTACTGTGATACCAAGAGGCTGTTCAGTTGCGTTGTCAGGGAAAGGAGAGTTACTGTGATACCAACAGGCTGTTCAGTTAGGTGGACAGGGAAAGGAGAGTTACTGTCATACCAAGAGGCTGCTCTGTTGGGTTGACAGGGAAAGGAGAGTTACTGTGATACCAAGAGGCTGTTCAGTTGCGTTGTCAGAGAAAGGAGAGTTACTGTCATACCAAGAGGCTGTTCAGTTGGATTGACAGGGAAAGGAGAGTTACTGTCATACCAAGAGGCTGCTCTGTTGGGTTGACAGGAAAGGAGAGTTACTGTCATACCAAGAGGCTGTTCAGTTGCGTTGTCAGAGAAAGGAGAGTTACTGTCATACCAAGAGGCTGCTCTGTTGGGTTGACAGGGAAAGGAGAGTTACTGTCATACCAAGAGGCTGTTCAGTTGCGTTGTCAGAGAAAGGAGAGTTACTGTCATACCAAGAGGCTGTTCAGTTGGATTGACAGGGAAAGGAGAGTTACTGTGATACCAAGAGGCTGCTCTGTTGGGTTGACAGGGAAAGGAGAGTTACTGTCATACCAAGAGGCTGTTCAGTTGCGTTGTCAGAGAAAGGAGACTTACTGTGATACCAAGAGGCTGCTCTGTTGGGTTGACAGGGAAAGGAGAGTTACTGTGATACCAAGAGGCTGCTCTGTTGGGTTGACAGGGAAAGGAGAGTTACTGTCATACCAAGAGGCTGCTCTGTTGGGTTGACAGGGAAAGGAGACTTACTGTGATACCAAGAGGCTGTTCAGTTGGGTTGACAGGGAAAGGAGAGTTACTGTGATACCAAGAGACTGCTCAGTTGCGTTGTCAGAGAAAGGAAGGCTAATGTGATAGTTGGATTGACAGGGAAAGGAGGGCAGTATTTTGATTTCAAGAGCATATTACGTCAAATTAGCACTTAGCCACCTAAACGCAATTTGTTTTAATGTGTGATGTAAAGCACCATCTGTGTTTACAGTTACAGTGAAACCCCGTTAGGAAGGGCTCCGTTCTTACGGACTCCCCACTTTGTGCACAATAACTGCTTGGAACACTTGCATGTACACCACGTGACTTAGGTGCGTAGCTGTGATTCGTTAATCGGGAAGTGTGTTAATCGGGAAGTGTGTTAATACTGACGTGATTCACGTAACACTACGTCCAGATTATTATCCAAATGTTTTAGTGATCAAATGTGCTGTTTGAGGTTCCAGATTCTCAGAACAAACCAGTCATTACTTTAAACTAATTTTTCGAAAAGATATAAAATACAGAATCGGTAATGATCATGTCCGACCAACAGTCGACACTGCCGTGTGGGCAAATACGATTAACCTTAGATCCTTTTGCCGTTTCTTAAATATTTCAAGGCATTTTGATATCAAGAGATCAGAAATGCACTACCCTGTGTTTGCACATACATGTTATAGTCCCGTATGGAAATAGACGGTTAGAATTGGCCCCAGCAGACAACCTACAGAGCCTTTTGGTGGTTCATCGCTCGCAAAATCGATCACTGCATTGTCAGGTCCAGTCGCGAAAATGTGAGGCACTGATACCTCAGGAATACAGCTGACTCAACCGGTAACAACATGATATGTAGGATGCGTTTCGGTATCACGTGGGATTTTAATTGATCGGGAAATATTTCAGCGACACAAGGGTCTGTGGGATGAACCACTTGACTGTTTGATTAACCATACGAGGCGATCAGATTATGTGATACAGTGTTACTGAACCCGAGAAGTAGTTGTGGGCTTGGATGCCACGTTGTATTGATGTTATCTCTCCACTCAACCGTTACTGACCAACGATCTTAACATAACTTAAAACTAAGCAACTTATTGATCTCCCACGACAGCTAAAGATTCAAGGGATGTAACTGTCGTTAGAACGCTATCACGATAATAAACTGTAATGGGGATTTACATGTTGATATACGTTATCGATAATCTTTGATCTGAGATCGACTCATTGTTTTGCTTCAGTAAGCTATTATGACCCTGGACACAAGTATATGAATATTGGGTCTGGACTGAATACTATCTCATTTCATCGTTAATACACAGGTAATTCTTCCAGTATTCTTAGCACTCATCCAGGATTAGTTCGTTTTTGATTATTTTCGACTTAATAACTGATAGTGGAATGTAAAGAGGATTGTTTGGGAAATATAGGCAGTAAACATAGATAAGTATATAAGCATTTATATACGGGATAGCTTATCCCGCTGGTAGGTTAATATCGATTGTAAACCCAAGGAGTGATAAATCTTGAAAGATAATCCAATATCCCGCTGTATATGCTCTTCGTGCAAGATAGCTATCTTTTATTCGGTTTATTGTTCAACTGTTCTCATTAATACGCCACACAAACGTTAATACTTGATATGGACTCCAGAAACGCCAAATAGGATATCGACCTGTAAGTAAAATCAGTTGGTGATTGGATCGATTTTTGTCGGCGTCTTGCAAGGCAGTATTGTGATTCCGGTATTACTGCGTTACCGTGCAGCATGTGGATAACAATTAACACATGAGCCTATTAAGTTAAACCGGAGGCTATTTTAAAGATCAATACTGCTTTAAGACGCTCGAGGCACACTTTGCTTTGGCCGAATAATCCTACCGTATTTACCTATATTATATGCCCAGCTGGATGTAACACGTAATGAATGTACTAACTTTATAGGCTACATATATACTACTCAAAAGAGGTGAAGAAAACCCGAGTAGTACAACTTGCGACACCAGTTACATGTATGTTAATGGCATACAGTCCATGTAACCTGCAATGCAGTACAATGGTAGATGCACGGTCTTCATTTAGTCGACTCTTAGAACAAGCAGAGATAACGGAGAGTCTTACCGGTAACTCCACAGTATTTGGTGAGTAGTAAAGAAAATCGGAATATGTGATATGAATTTAGTCACGAGGTTAACTACACAAACAGTATATATATACGGTTATGTACACATTAATTGTATTGATTGTACGGCTAACAGCCATCGTGTATTACTGTAATATCATTCACTAATATAAAGCTGATATAGTTATGATTTTATCATTTGTACGGTTTTTCACCAGGACAAAATAAGTTGATGGTTGATGAAGGCAAATAATATAATAAAATACAATGTTTCTTCCAAGGGGGCGTATTCAATACAGACATCACAATTGTGTTTTGCCGACTGTTTCGATCTGTCCAGTTGTTAAGTTTTTACTTTCTCTTGCCCCACGAGTCCCAAGGAGGGACACCCCATGCATCCCAAGGAGGGATAGGTCTGCCGACATGCCAACCGGCGAAGGCGACCTCAAAAGCACCTAACACAATAACAACAACAACAACATCCTTTGAATATGCACAGATACTCTTGCGACTGATGAATTACAGCAAATAAACTGCGGGGCAAGAGAAAGTAAAAACTTAACAACTGGACAGATCGAAACTTGAAAACAAAGATTGCTTACACAAGTAAAATGGGACAGGTTACACAGAAACAAAACTAGACACACATCACTACATGGCTATGAATATGACACATAAAAACAAGACAAAAATGACATTAACAAAATGAGAAATGACTGCACGTAATCACCACGAAATAAAAGGATGATTTACAACACAGTTTATACTCCCTGTCTGTTTAACTCAAGGGCCCGCTACTCTACACGGGACACGGGGTTTTACGGTAGTCAGAGTTCACGTCCCGTTACTGCAGAGGTCCCTGTGTCGGTTGCTATGCATGGGTCGGGAGTTACCCACGTGAGACGTGTCTTCAGAGAATCTCGCCTCACCGTTAGGCGTGCAGGGGTCTGATTAACCTGTAGGGATACGTTCTTGGCCAAGGAGGGGGTCAGTTCGTGGGTAAGCCTTGTATATCTGCATATTTTATTTCGTGGTGATTACGTGCAGTCATTTCTCATTTTGTTAATGTCATTTTTGTCTTGTTTTTATGTGTCATATTCATAGCTATGTAGTGATGTGTGTCTAGTTTTGTTTCTGTGTTACCTGTCCGTTTTTACTTGTGTAAGCAATCTTTGTTTTCAAGTTATTTCACGTGCAAAAACAGGCGAAACTAAGTGTATGTTGCAGTCAGTGTTTAAAGTCAACCAGTCGTTTTTAACTGACGATATGGATATGAATTTGGACAGGAGTGTTGTAGATTACAACTTGTGTATTGTACATGAACATCGTTTCGGGGCTTTTTTTCTCTCCATCATCATAATTATCATAATGAAGGCACAAAACGGCCTTGACACATTGTGTATGTATATAGAAATATAATATAATAATAATAATATAGAAATATTATAGAAATAATATAGAAATTGTCCTCCACAATATTCCTATATAAATTTTCAGACAATTTGAAAATGATTGATTCACTCAATTAACAAATAAAATATGAACATCAGTGTTAGTAATCTGTTGATTGAAGGCAGTTCAGGTTCCTAATACTTTTGACGAATTAATGCCGCAATAACGTATGTATAGAAGTTTATGTAGAAAAACACAAATGCTAGAGATTTAATCAGTTTGAAAGGGCAACTCCAGTTGACAGCTCACCATGTGACCTAGTTGCTATATACGAACATGCTGTCTGTAGGGGAATATGTCCCCTGCCTATGTCGTAGCTTACAGCCTGGGGGTCTTACAGCCCTATCATGCTACCCTCCATTGAAGATCACATTAGCGTAGCATGGACAGTGAATTATAGTCCAGACACCCTAGTACAGCAGTTGTTAGCTTGTCACACTCGTGGCCGTGTATTTAACGCCTTTTAAGCAATATATGTCAGGTTAAAGTTACTATAAGCATAATGATTTTGCCTTTGTACACGCCCTAATCATCATTTTCTGATTGACGAGTTTACCAGTAAATAGTCGGAATCCTGGGTGTTCTAAATACAAGGGCTGAGATTAGCGGGGTTGTGGAGTAACGGGAACGTAATCTGTGAAAGCCACAGCTGCGACACAGATACACACAATGTCGACGTCCATGTGGAGTTTTATCATATGTCAGGCCATTAGATGTTAACACTTACCTATATCTGTCATGTAAACTCTCTTTGTAAATATAACACGTGTGTCAATGTTGTGTCGAAATAGCATAACACTGATGTCTCCCCCTTGAAGATCCGCGTTAGAAAGGGTCTTCAGCAACCCATGAGTGTCATCACCAACCGATCGGGTGTTCAGGGTCGCTGACTTGGTTCATGCGTGACATCGTATCCAAATTGTGTACATCTAAGCTCATGATGCCAATCACTGGATAGTGTTGTCCTGACACAATTATTGACAGACCGCCACCATGTAGATTATTATTGCTGAATGCGGCGTAAAGCAACAAACCTGATGTCTAGAATGTTCTGTAACTGTTTAGAACGTCTTAAAATACCTTAATGCTTTTTCCGATAATAAATATTTGTTTTATGCTTAACCTTTGAGGTCTTGGCCTGACGTCCTACTGACGTCGAGCTGTTTAAATCGTTCTGTGCGTCCTTATGTTCACTGCCCGCCGTTGGATTCTACATGTATTGTAGACCGCTCCTGTCAGTCTTTCTCGGGGTTTACATAATTTACAGACTGACCCTGCTACAAAATGGGTTTTTTTATGTCATCTCACATGCGGTTCACGTGTATCTATATGAAACATTGTAGTGGAGATTATTAATAAGTATAATTTTGAATGTCTATTTCTCCGTTTTCTTTGACTGTTTGACTGGTATTCTGGAAACTGGTGAGTAAATGGGATGACATTCAACGTCATGGATAAAACGGTCTGGTTTAATGCGTGTAGATTCTCACACCATGCTCAGGCTGGAGTGATTTGACAGTACAATACACCGGAAGTTGTTATCAACGAGTTGCGCCAGTTTTCCTAATAATCAAATAGACAAATACAAACATTCACTCATCGGTCATTTGACATATGCACTGAAATTACCTGCGTTCTGCTTCTATTGATTAAGAAATGGTTGCGCAGCAGCATATATTCGCTATACAAATGTTCAATCAAGATAGTATATAGCAAGTATATTTCTTGTCGGTATATACATTATATAAAACTATGGGTGTATAGATTTTCCAACTGCCTCATACTGTATGTGGATGAAATGTGTATCGCTCGCACAGGTAATTGCTGTCAGTGACATATTGATACTTACAGGCCAGACATACCCCCCGCAGAGAGATAGGCGACCTTTTACATGGACTGAGTGACGGGCGCGATGATCGACAATCACACATTTCAGATAGCGACACCCGTCTTAGAAATTACAACTTGTGAATGTCATTTTTCAAACCCGTTATCGACAATGACTGATTTATGGCGTCAAGTGTTAATATTTGCACAGCTTAATCCCTCATTTCAGTCTAAGCTACGTTTGTACTACAATCGTGAAGACGGCATAGTAACACTATAAACGTGGCGGGAGGTAAAGGGAACAGCACACGGGCAGTTAAAGCACACTCCACACGTGGACTGTATGCAACAAGACTTAGCGTTGTTGCGTTCAAACTAGGGGCCAAATGTCAGTGTTATTAAGGCTTAACACAAACCCTTATGTAAGCAAGTTTCAAGACAGGTGCATGTTCTGTGGAAATAAGCCTCTTTCTTTCTACTTAAGGTGTGAAGTTTAGCCCCGTGTGTTCATTCACTGCCCCTTTGCAGATCCTCCACAGTGACTGAGCGGAATTTAATGCCGCTTTGATCAGCATTCCAGGAATATCACGGCGAAACGTGCGAGGGTATGGCGCTGATAAAAGACATAATCTGTGCCAAATGGGATTCGAACCAGGTCTCTGAGGCGCCCGTGGGACCCAACCTCTGTACAGCGAAACAGCGGCGGTGCAGACTACAGTGCCTACACGTGTGTGTGCGCGTGCGTGCGTGTACCCGCAAGTTTTAGGCGCTGGTGAGGTTACACTGTCTCAGTTACCTGTGTTTCTCACCGACTTACCGACTTCAAATCTCAGCCCCCCCAAGACACGACAATGTAATTAATCCTGCGTGTCATAAACACACCATCCAACACCGATTGCAATCTATTGATACATGACTATAAACAGGCGAATGCGATCAAGCCATCTGTCTGAAAAGAGATCCGCGAAACCATTTGCCTGATAAGCTATCTCACCTGTCATGTCTTCTTACACGAAATAGACACGCTATTGACAAGCGTATGTTTCAAAAACCGTGACTGATTTCTGCGCTGCATTCTGTGTGTTGTTTAAGTGTGCGCCCGCCTGGCTAGTTCCTGTGATCTTACTCGGTCTGAAACGGCCATTATCATTCTTTATAAAGCGTGAAATAACATTGTATCGTATTTCCCGATTTACGATGCTTGTTATTATTCTTGTCTACGTTGTACAATAGGCTCAGTCAATAATGCTACTGGCTGTTGTGATGCATCTGTTGTCGATATGTTTCAGCGTATTTTATGTTCACAACAAAACAATAAAGATATTGGCTTAACATGCTTCATGCTCGGACTTGTTTGGTTAAATAAGGTTACAAAGAAAACAAGTTTGTCTCCAAGAACATTTTTGTATTTACAAACACTGTTGATTATTCGCGAGAGCGTTCTCAGGCAGTAGTGTAGCCAGTTGGTTAAAATACCACCGCTCTCTTGTGAAGGCCTGGGTTCGATTCCCAACATGGATACAATGTTCAATGTACTAACTCACTATTTATGGTCAATTACACTGCCTTCATTTTCTGTTTTCATGATTGACAATATTTCTTTCCCGAAAATACCAGTAAAATAGTATATGTCACCATGGTTTATCAAAAAATCTATTTTTCATGTCTTAAAATGTCTTTTTATGTCTTATGGCAGTAAAATCATATTCTGTGTCTCACGATCCCGATTGAAATAACACCCTTAAGGACTCTATATATGACCTATTAGTAATGTCATCACACTGTACATCAACCTCTATATATGACCTATTAGTAATGTCATCACACTGTACACCAACCTCTATATATGACCTATTAGTAATGGCATCACGCTGTACATCAACCTCTATATATGACCTATTAGTAATGTCATCACACTGTACACCAACCTCTATATATGACCTATTAGTAATGTCATCACACTGTACACCAACCTCTATATATGACCTATTAGTAATGGCATCACGCTGTACATCAACCTCTATATATGACCTATTAGTAATGTCATCACACTGTACACCAACCTCTATATATGACCTATTAGTAATGTCATCACACTGTACACCAACCTCTATATATGACCTATTAGTAATGTCATCACACTGTACACCAACCTCTATATATGACCTATTAGTAATGTCATCACACTGTACATCAACCTCTATATATGACCTATTAGTAATGTCATCACACTGTACATCATCTTCTATATATGACCTATTAGTAATGTCATCACACTGTACACCAACCTCTATATATGACCTATTAGTAATGTCATCACACTGTACATCAACCTCTATATATGACCTATTAGTAATGTCATCACACTGTACATCAACCTCTATATATGACCTATTAGTAATGTCATCACACTGTACATCAACCTCTATATATGACCTATTAGTAATGTCATCACACTGTGCATCAACCTCGTTTATTGCATAAACTCAAATATCCTTCATGTATATATTCTCCTTGTGCGTAACGTTGTGTACCACTTGCTTGATAACGGTGTTAGCATCTACACCCAAACGTCGCATCCAATGCAATGAAGAAGTTGTCTATCCACAAAAATCGTTCCCGTTCATCATACCAGCTTCTAAAATGCCACTCCGGGAAGTTACGACTGTTCACCACATTCACTAAATGGCGTTGCTGGCTCATGTTATGTGTGTGTTCCCCAGGGTTTCCAGGTATCCTGTAGTGCATACTTTGGGACAAATAATCAGAATAACATTAAACTTAATCTAAACAGTAAATTTGATATTTATTTTTGTTTTCAGGTTTCTGGAATAAATGACTCTACAATGGCGGGGATTAAAGGGATCATGAAACGCCCAAGCATTCCCATCAGGGGCAGTCACAAGGACTCCGATGTAGAAAACAAGTCCTGCCAGTCCCCGGTGAAAAACACCGATAACAAACTTCCCTCACTCGTGAAAGAAGACCGCATTGGCGAACAAAACCTTCTCGGAAACAGTTTGACTGCTAAACTCAAGAAACACTTCCCGACAGAATGTTCAACGAGGAAAGTCCTCCAGAAGAAGAATAGCAGAGACAATGTGTTCCATCTCACACAGACAAATGACGGATTGGATGATGATGTGTACGAAAAGATTCGTCGTCAGCAGCAGGTAAAGAAACATGCAGAATGGAGTCGTAGGAAACAGGAGAAGCTTCAGTCCAGACTCATATGTTGGGCAGCTGAGGCAGAGAGATTTTTACCGCAGAGCTGCCAGGGTGAAAGAAAAGAGACAGAAAATCAGGGTCCTCCTGTTGCTAAGGAGAAGATAAAGTTTGATGACTTCCCCAGAGGTCGGGGCAGCTCCGTGATTAGCTATTCCTCCTCCTTTGATGAAGACAGTGTGAGAATGATGAAGAAAGATGGAGTGTTCCGTCCTGTGAACAAATATGGCACTTCCCGCCTTCTAAGAGGAGCAGACGACCTTCCTTTTTCGAACACTCTCATCGATTATGAAACTGTGACATTGCCTTTGAAAGATAGAACGAGGGAACAGAATGAAACAGAACATTGTCGGGGGAAGAAGGGTTTATCTGTGTCCTGGAGTGCTCAGTGCTTTCATAATGATCCAAGTGACGAAAAGAAGTCGGAAAAAGACTCGAAGTCAGGCTCTGCGAAAAGTTTTAGGAGTGAGCCGATTGCATGGAAGAGACCGACCTTTTCCTCAGGCAGGAGCAAAGTTGAAAGAGTCGGTGTGATGTGGAAACTACCTCCTCAGAAACGGATCCCGAGTACAACACCGTCTCCGAAGCGAGTAAAGGTGTCCAAAGACTTGACCCCAGTAACCTCCGGTCTTGATCGAGAAGGGACTTCCGCCGCCAAGACTCGCTGGCGTGTGAAGCCCAGTGGCTCCCCCGAGTCGGAATATGGTATGGAGACAGCGTATAACATTCGCGGTTCCTTGAAGGCTTTACGGCAGATGTCGTTCCGTGGAAAAGTTTCGCCCAGAAAGATGACATTCTCGGGTTCGGAATCTGTGTGCTGTCATTCTGGATAAAACATGCAACAGGCGTCAAGGTTGTACCAGATAACGACATGTCGTAAGTGAGTGTCACTGTTACGACAACTTAATGTTACGACTAATCGGTCAAATATCACTTTGTACCGATTGACGTAATACCGACACAGATTTGTTACTGAATGTTAAAGTGAGAAGGTCACTTTAGATATGTCGTAAGATCGCTTTGAGGATTAAACCAAGTACCCCGAAGCCAGTTCAAGACACGTACCTCAATATTCCCTCAATACTCATAAATGAGATTATCATAGTAGGCAACTCTTTGAACTAACACCATTACTACCACACATTAAACATGCCTCGCTTCACCCTAAGCAGTTTGGTCTAGATTCTACATAATCCCAAATTCACCTAAAACTAATTGATGCGTAACACAAAGCAACGCTCTTAAACTATTACACAACCTGCACTTATGTCGTCCTTGGAACATTTTTACACATTTAACTGCAGTATTTATATATTATCTCTCCACGACCACTATACAGCTGTAATGTAGCTATATACGACATGATATACCTCAGGTTGTAATATAGCTATATACAACGTGATATACCTGTAATATAACCATATACAGTATGATATACCTGTGATATAGCCATATACAGTTCATTCACTTCTCTTAACGCCGAAAAACCTGGTTGAATTCCCCACATGGGTACAGTGTGTGAAGAACACTTCTGGTGTCCCTCGCCGTGAGATTGCTGGAATATTGCTAGAGGCGGCGTGAAACTTAACTCACTAACTTCTCTGAAGGCACAATAAATGGAAGTGAGCGTGTATGTAACTGCAATCATCCCCAAAATGGATTCATTACTAAAGTTGGTGACGATAAGTAATGTTTATCACATAACAACTAGCACATATGATCTGGTAAAAAGGTAACCAAGCGTGATCTCCTGATATGAACTTAAGCCAAACATTTTTAAAAAAAATTAAATTTCGTCGGTTTAGTTTAATTTAAGTTGATTTCCTAAAAAATATTTTTTACTGGCAAGACATATTGATTACATGCTCCTCCATGTTGTTGTTACCTTTCTAAGATAAATTGTTTTATTGGTATTGTATTAATTCTGAACTTCCGATTTCAAACGTGAAACACTTCGCTTCAAGATCATTTCTCTTCAACGTTTCATGCTCCTATTACTAATCATACACACGAACCTGGCAAATAACGCTATTTTCATATTACGAGTATGAAGGGTAAAATGTAAAGAAACAACCCAAATCTCGAAACTGGTGTACAACTCATGCTTTCATGCATGATAAACCACGTAAATATGATTTGATGAATACTATTTTATAACAAATCCATGGGCCCACCAGTACACTTTAAAACCACCGAAAAAGAGAAACACTGAATTACGTGATTCTGTAATATGATCACATGACGACACACGTTTATGAAAAATATTGTACGAAGCTCTCATAGAATATAACCAAAACAGTATATTCTGTATATAAAACCAACATTGGCAACTGTCTGTTGCTGTCACATCCGAACTATACACAGACATGGTATGGGTAACTCTGCTTATATAGTGTGTGCTATTCATACTTTATTTTGATCAAAAGCTAACAGACACTCAGTTCACCGGCGCTTGATATACTCAAACACTATAGAAACGCAACACATACTTCGAAAGGAAGTTTGCAAAGATACAGTAACAACACAGATACAGGACAGAGTAAATGTTGCGTTTTTTAAGGCCTTTCAGTATATAAGTGCATATCAAAATACCAACTTGTTCCAATATCCAGTCTTTCAATGGAAAAGCTATGCATCTCCAAACATAATCATTTAACACGTATTTTATACAATTATATATCTTCCCCTAACTGCTGCACTGTCAGAGCATTTACACACGAACCTGCAAGAATCAATAAAAGCATGTCCGTGTTCAGTTGTTTTCTTCATGTGTCTGCCTACATCAGTTCTGTCAGTCTATTGTTTAACGGTGTCAACTGGAACTGTTTCCGACGTGTAGAAAGTACTGGAAACTCTCAGGAGTCAAGCTGCCAAACACGGTCACCCATCCAAGGACTCTCGGCGCCCAACCTTGCTTATCTTCAACTGATTTGTGACCTGAGCTCCATGCACAGGACCACACACCACCACCGCCACCACATCCTAGAACCAGTCCAACAACAAGGCTTATATAACGGTATTAGCATCGCTAGCTCTTTGAACAGATATGTCATGCGTGCAACTGGTACTTCGAATAGTGGTGTCGTCTGCAGAAAGGGAACTCCACTATGACATATTTTGGTCACGTGTCATTATTCGTGATTGCGGTTCACGTGGAAAGTTGAAATGATTTACTCGACATAAACATACCCGATTGTCACTAGATGAAAGCATCTGTGGTCCATATCTCCAAAATGATCTGTTCGCGGCATTAAATTCACCTTGAGGAGTTATACAATGGCAGAGCTTTCAGCACAATAACAAATAGGCCAACATATATATCTGTGTCAAGATCTATTGTACATGCAGACCGTGATGTTATGTACGGAGAGATAGATCGGAGATAATTGCCTAGAGGTCTCATACAAGCCTACTTGTGGGAGAATACAGAATTCCTTCACAGAAGGTGTAGGGAACACTCCTATCTCCCAACGCTCTAGAACCCTAGATGATTGTCCAAATATATTAATGTAGGCGAATCGCTGTCACAGTGTCGTAACCTGGTTTGTGCTGTAATGCATGTCGTTCCTGTTTTATCATCAACTTTGTCTTAAGATTTCTTAAAATATATAATCTTCTGCTATACATAGTATCAAGAATCTGTGTAAGCCACGAAGTTCTAGGATGACATACATGTTAATGGACAAAGTGCACTTATACGAATTATGTAAATGCCCAATGGGTGAGTCTGATATTTCAAGACATATGTATGTGTGTATTTGTGTGTGTGTGTTTTTGTGTGTGTGTGTTTTTTGTGTGTTTGGTGTGTGTGTGTGTGTGTGTGTGTGTGTGTGTGTGTGTGTGTGTGTGTGTGTGTGTGTGTGTGCGTGCGTGCGTGTGCGAGCGTGTACATGTGTAATACAATATGTGGGTTTTATATTCTCCGTGTGTGGCGATAGTGGTGCCTTTGGGAAAATAATTGATAACAGCAAATGACTTCCAGCGACCTACAGTTATGCTGTTTATGGTACAGTTGTTGATGACCTCACAGTTGTAGGTAGCCCGGTGTATGAAACCCGACATCACGTATGTCGTGACTATACCACTGAGTGAACTATCTAACCGCTCCCTGCTTTAAAATACAACACGTTGTAGGACAATTATCATTTATCGACATATTCATACAACAAATACGTCAAGCGTGTTATGTATTAATTCCCAGACCTGAAATGAAAGCAAATGCTTAAGTTTAATAAACACCACATAAAGGCGAAACAATAACATTATATTTTATCGTAACATCATTCTCGATAATCAAAGGTAGTTATCTCAATTTTCTTGTAATTAAAACCTCAGACCAATTGGCTATCACAGCCCCGATTGGAATGTGACGTTACATCATGTTGTATCAGAAACGTCCCACAGAAAATAGGCGAGGTGAGGTGAAATTGGGTTTAACGTCGTGCTTGAGAATATTTCGCTCATATGACGACGTGCATGCGTGTAGGTTTAGGTGCGGCTGCTTGTACTAGCCCAGACTGAAGCTGGTTTTATAGTGCTAGCCCACTGAGATACAATGCCGCAGTGAAGCATGAATACCCCACTCAGACACATTATACTGACTCCGAGCCGACCAGTCCGTTGTACCCATTAATGCCGAACGCCAGGGACAGGGACCAACAAGTACCATATTTTAACGTCTTTGGTATGACGCGGTCGGGGATTGAACCCGCGACCCTCCGCTCTCCGGGCGGACGCTCTAACCACTACACCACGGAGGCGGTCCCCACAGAAAATAACTTTATTGGAAGCTTATTTACGTGTCGTATCATTCGAATCGCAATCGAAACTGTTCGAGTTGGTTGAGCCTACGCTGGATATCCACAGTGGCAGTAGTCGTCGATACAGTGGAAGGATTGCCATGGTCTTGCACAGTTGCACGTGATGTCCCCACCCAAGAAACGTGTCAGACATTCGTTACGGTCAGTGCATTGGGCTGCGAAAAAAACAAACAAATCGTAAACGTGAAGGCCATTTGTCTGTGTTAGATAAGTTTATTTAAGCATTTCAAAACCACATTCTTTGAATACTATCACTCCATCGCGCAAGGGTAGCCTTAAGGATGTGGCTTACAGTTCGAACCTTGTTACATTATCATACCATATATAATTTGTTGACATCAATTCAAAATCTTTGAAATTACAACTTCATAGACCCATTCAGAGGTCGAGACGATCGGAGTAGGGTAATTAGCCATGGAACATATATAAAATGGCAAAAGCGATATATGTATAGATTTATCCGAATTCGAACAAAATCCATTGAATACTTATTCCATTCAATACTTAATGCATTCAATAGGTAATACTTTTTTAGTAATTTAGGCTCTGAGGTATGATTTGGCAGAATAGGTCAACGGTCAGCATATATGTATGTATTTTAGACTACCGCTTAGTATCTGGATATATATAATTTTGATAGAAAGCAAACAATTATGGCTTACGGTCCGACCTTTGCTATGTCGCCATACCGCCGTTTGGGACATTCAATGCAAAAGTGAGTGAGTTTTAGTTTAACGCCGCGTTTAGCAATATTCAAGCAATATTACGACAGGGCACACCAGAAATGGGCTTCACACATTGCGCCCATGTTGGGAATCGAACCCAGATCTTCGGTGTGACGAGTGAACGTTTTAACCACTAGGCTACACCACCGTCCCTACCTGTAAAAGACCATCAAATTGAAGTATTTAAAATTCCACTTCATCGACCCATTCAATTGGAGTGTGGAAATTAGATATGGAACAATAATTCAATCAGGGTTTAGCCCACGAATCATGTTACATCTTCTTAAGCGATAAATATCGATTTTTCCGAATTAGAGAGAAGAAAATTCATTCACAACTTAATCCCTGACACATAAGTATGTCGTGTAATTTAGGATCTTTAGTATGATTTGGCAAAATAGGACAACAGTCAGCATAAACGTAGACGCGTTAGACTAACGCTTAGTCTCTGAATATATAGAATTTTGATAGAAACAGACAATTTCTTTCAAATTTAAAAACGAGCGCCAATAAGAAGGGAGATTAAGGACCTGAACCTGCCGACTTGCTTCATATAGGCTTTAGCAGTGTAGAAAGGGCTGAGCGGGAGGAAAATAATATGGTTCAGGGACTGTGAGACAGGCTAGTAGATACGTCTATTTCAATATGTATATAGTTGGCGAACACCGGAACTACAAGAACAATATCGACGACGTGTAGAAGTCCTTATGCATGTGTTTGTTCGTGCTAATGTTTTGTAGATAAACCTCATTTATCAACTGTCTTGGACCTTGCATTGAAGTGGTTGAAAATATATGCTTCAGGGATAGTGTGATCAATATGTCGCAAACAGTAGATTTGCGATTACACGTCGTGTACGAAGTCGTCAATTTAGCCGGCTCGGATGACGTTGCCAAGAACGTCGTCCAACCCGGAATTCCATATGAGTTTGATGCATGGCTGTGGTATCCCCCCTACCCTTTCACACGCACGCACTCACGCACGCACGCAGTTTCAATTGTAGGTTCGCTTGTTACCGAGGTCTTGGTCGGGGTCGCAAGCGTTGGTGCAGGTACACAGGCCGTTGTCGCAGATCAGTGACCCTGCTGTTCCACACACAGTAATCCTTGAACAGTCCGCTACTGTGGCACACGCCTCCCTCTTGCTGAGAGCCGAGGCACAAGCTACAAGTAAACATGTAAACATACATCCTAGTGAGGGCTGAGGCACAAGCTACAAGTAAACATGGAAACATACATCCTAGTCAGTGAGTGAGTGAGTGAGTGAGTAGTTTTACGCCGCACTCAGCAATATTCCAACTATATTGCGGCGGTCTGTAAATAATCGAGTCTGGACCAGACAATCCAGTGATCAACAGCATGAGCATCGATCTACGCAAATGGTATACGATGACATGTGTCAACCAAGTCAGCGAGCCTGACCACCCGATCCCGTTAGTCGCCTCTTACGACATGGGTTACTGAAGATCAATTCTAACCCGGATCTTCACGGGTCATATTGATGAGTAAGTGGATTTGTTTAAACCAGGAATTAATATTCCACGTTCGTCAGGGTGACATACTGAATCTGGACCAGGTAAACCGGTGACTACAGTCATAACTGACCATACAGGAGTAAACTGACTCAGGGCAATCCAATCCAGCACGGAATACATGCGGGGTATATACACAACAGAGTTACCTGCCATTACATGCTTGGAAACACAACACCATGATCAGGAATATCAGTTCATATTGACCTGTGTTGGGTGATCAGGCCTGTTGGAGGCCAGCCAGTGGTCAGTAACGTGAACGTGTATATGGATCATCACAGAACAAAACAAGTCAGCAAAAGCTATGTAAGACGTCCCTTCCAAGAAAAAAGGCATATATTTGGGTCACACGGTGTCATTTTAAGACAGTTATGGGGAAGTTGCGAGTAGCATTTAACGACTAGCTATTTCTTTTACCATAATCATGGAATATGAGCCCAGAACGAAGAAATGGTTATATTTCCCCATTATCTACGTCATTACCAGCACCACCTCACACGATTTCAGTGTCCCAATGTACCTACAAGGAAAAATGGCTGTGTGTTCCTTTGTTACTTCAAGAATTACCCCATTGGTTATATGTCAAATATCTTTCTAGCGGAGCGTTATACCGAACACAAAAAGACACCGGTAACTGCTGGGTAGTTCCGCACAGGAACAATGTGTGACCTTTCTCGTCATCTTTATCCGAAAACGTGTCAAGATACTCTCCAAACAGACAATCCTGCAGTTAAATTACCCGTACATGGCATGGATACGAACCTTATCACTGTGGCGTTCACATGACATAAACGTCAATTACGTCATCGCCTTCGGGCATGATTTAATTAATCAATGTTTGATGTGTAATTGAAACTACCTGATATAGCCCAAGCAGTCATGACTAGCTTCTTGACATAGACGATCGTTGATCAAGCTTTGTCAGACAATGATTCAAATCTTATAAAGAAATCGTTATCTTATAAAATGCCTATTAAATTTGTGAGTGGTATGAAATTACCTGCCAGTGCTAGAACGGAGAGAATGGTGAGAGATCCCATGGCTAGTGGATTGTCCGAGAGTCTTCCTACAAAGTGGCCACTCCTATCTCACAACGCTCGAACACCGGCCAGATGGGTTTTTTTTTTTCTCTCACTGATAAAGATCGTGTTAGTTCTACACGATTTCGTGTTATTCGGTTAAAGAGACGACGTATTTAATTCTAATTCTTTGACAAGTCTAGATTGTTCCAGTTTGTTCTTTTTATCAGTTATTTGAAGACAATTCCACATAACAAATAATGCACAGGCTAGCTATTCTGGAAACGTTCGTAGCCCTACGAACTTCTTAAGCCCATACTTAACACATTGGCTACGATCGAAGTTACGAATTCTTAGGGCTTCGAACGTTTGGAATGCATGTCGTTCCTGTTTTATCTTCAGCTTTGTCTTAAGATTTCTTAAAATATATAGCCTTCTGCTATACATAGTATCAAGAATCTGTGTAAGCCACGAAGTTCTAGGATGACATACATGTTAACGGACAAAGTGCACTTATACGAATTATGTAAATGCCCAATGGGTGAGTCTGATATTTCAAGACATATGTATGTGTGTATTTGTTTGTGTGTGTTTTTGTGTGTTTGTGTTTTTTTTGTGTTTGGTGTGTGTGTGTGTGTGTGCGTGCGTGCGTGCGTGCGCGCGTGCGTGTGCGTGTACATGTATAATACAATATGTGGGTTTTATATTCTCCGTGTGTGGCGATAGTGGTGCCTTTGGGAAAATAATTGATAACAGCAAATGACTTCCAGCGACCTACAGTTATGCTGTTTATGGTACAGTTGTTGATGACCTCACAGTTGTAGGTAGCCCGGTGTATGAAACCCGACATCACGTATGTCGTGACTATACCACTGAGTGAACTATCTAACCGCTCCCTGCTTTAAAATACAACACGTTGTAGGACAATTATCATTTATCGACATATTCATACAACAAATACGTCAAGCGTGTTATGTATTAATTCCCAGACCTGAAATGAAAGCAAATGCTTAAGTTTAATAAACACCACATAAAGGCGAAACAATAACATTATATTTTATCGTAACATCATTCTCGATAATCAAAGGTAGTTATCTCAATTTTCTTGTAATTAAAACCTCAGACCAATTGGCTATCACAGCCCCGATTGGAATGTGACGTTACATCATGTTGTATCAGAAACGTCCCACAGAAAATAGGCGAGGTGAGGTGAAATTGGGTTTAACGTCGTGCTTGAGAATATTTCGCTCATATGACGACGTGCATGCGTGTGTAGGTTTAGGTGCGGCTGCTTGTACTAGCCCAGACTGAAGCTGGTTTTATAGTGCTAGCCCACTGAGATACAATGCCGCAGTGAAGCATGAATACCCCACTCAGACACATTATACTGACTCCGAGCCGACCAGTCCGTTGTACCCATTAATGCCGAACGCCAGGGACAGGGACCAACAAGTACCATATTTTAACGTCTTTTGGTATGACGCGGTCGGGGATTGAACCCGCGACCCTCCGCTCTCCGGGCGGACGCTCTAACCACTACACCACGGAGGCGGTCCCCACAGAAAATAACTTTATTGGAAGCTTATTTACGTGTCGTATCATTCGAATCGCAATCGAAACTGTTCGAGTTGGTTGAGCCTACGCTGGATATCCACAGTGGCAGTAGTCGTCGATACAGTGGAAGGATTGCCATGGTCTTGCACAGTTGCACGTGATGTCCCCACCCAAGAAACGTGTCAGACATTCGTTACGGTCAGTGCATTGGGCTGCGAAAAAAAACAAACAAATCGTAAACGTGAAGGCCATTTGTCTGTGTTAGATAAGTTTATTTAAGCATTTCAAAACCACATTCTTTGAATACTATCACTCCATCGCGCAAGGGTAGCCTTAAGGATGTGGCTTACAGTTCGAACCTTGTTACATTATCATACCATATATAATTTGTTGACATCAATTCAAAATCTTTGAAATTACAACTTCATAGACCCATTCAGAGGTCGAGACGATCGGAGTAGGGTAATTAGCCATGGAACATATATAAAATGGCAAAAGCGATATATGTATAGATTTATCCGAATTCGAACAAAATCCATTGAATACTTATTCCATTCAATACTTAATGCATTCAATATGTAATACTTTTTTTAGTAATTTAGGCTCTGAGGTATGATTTGGCAGAATAGGTCAACGGTCAGCATATATGTATGTATTTTAGACTACCGCTTAGTATCTGGATATATATAATTTTGATAGAAAGCAAACAATTATGGCTTACGGTCCGACCTTTGCTATGTCGCCATACCGCCGTTTGGGACATTCAATGCAAAAGTGAGTGAGTTTTAGTTTAACGCCGCGTTTAGCAATATTCAAGCAATATTACGACAGGGCACACCAGAAATGGGCTTCACACATTGCGCCCACGTTGGGAATCGAACCCAGATCTTCGGTGTGACGAGTGAACGTTTTAACCACTGGGCTACACCACCGTCCCTACCTGTAAAAGACCATCAAATTGAAGTATTTAAAATTCCACTTCATCGACCCATTCAATTGGAGTGTGGAAATTAGATATGGAACAATAATTCAATCAGGGTTTAGCCCACGAATCATGTTACATCTTCTTAAGCCATAAATATCGATTTTTCCGAATTAGAGAGAAGAAAATTCATTCACAACTTAATCCCTGACACATAAGTATGTCGTGTAATTTAGGATCTTTAGTATGATTTGGCAAAATAGGACAACAGTCAGCATAAACGTAGACGCGTTAGACTAACGCTTAGTCTCTGAATATATAGAATTTTGATAGAAACAGACAATTTCTTTCAAATTTAAAAACGAGCGCCAATAAGAAGGGAGATTAAGGACCTGAACCTGCCGACTTGCTTCATATAGGCTTTAGCAGTGTAGAAAGGGCTGAGCGGGAGGAAAATAATATGGTTCAGGGACTGTGAGACAGGCTAGTAGATACGTCTATTTCAATATGTATATAGTTGGCGAACACCGGAACTACAAGAACAATATCGACGACGTGTAGAAGTCCTTATGCATGTGTTTGTTCGTGCTAATGTTTTGTAGATAAACCTCATTTATCAACTGTCTTGGACCTTGCATTGAAGTGGTTGAAAATATATGCTTCAGGGATAGTGTGATCAATATGTCGCAAACAGTAGATTTGCGATTACACGTCGTGTACGAAGTCGTCAATTTAGCCGGCTCGGATGACGTTGCCAGGAACGTCGTCCAACCCGGAATTCCATATGAGTTTGATGCATGGCTGTGGTATCCCCCCTACCCTTTCACACGCACGCACTCACGCACGCACGCAGTTTCAATTGTAGGTTCGCTTGTTACCGAGGTCTTGGTCGGGGTCGCAAGCGTTGGTGCAGGTACACAGGCCGTTGTCGCAGATCAGTGACCCTGCTGTTCCACACACAGTAATCCTTGAACAGTCCGCTACTGTGGCACACGCCTCCCTCTTGCTGAGAGCCGAGGCACAAGCTACAAGTAAACATGTAAACATACATCCTAGTGAGGGCTGAGGCACAAGCTACAAGTAAACATGGAAACATACATCCTAGTCAGTGAGTGAGTGAGTGAGTGAGTGAGTAGTTTTACGCCGCACTCAGCAATATTCCAACTATATTGCGGCGGTCTGTAAATAATCGAGTCTGGACCAGACAATCCAGTGATCAACAGCATGAGCATCGATCTACGCAAATGGTATACGATGACATGTGTCAACCAAGTCAGCGAGCCTGACCACCCGATCCCGTTAGTCGCCTCTTACGACATGGGTTACTGAAGATCAATTCTAACCCGGATCTTCACGGGTCATATTGATGAGTAAGTGGATTTGTTTAAACCAGGAATTAATATTCCACGTTCGTCAGGGTGACATACTGAATCTGGACCAGGTAAACCGGTGACTACAGTCATAACTGACCATACAGGAGTAAACTGACTCAGGGCAATCCAATCCAGCACGGAATACATGCGGGTATATACACAACAGAGTTACCTGCCATTACATGCTTGGAAACACAACACCATGATCAGGAATATCAGTTCATATTGACCTGTGTTGGGTGATCAGGCCTGTTGGAGGCCAGCCAGTGGTCAGTAACGTGAACGTGTATATGGATCATCACAGAACAAAACAAGTCAGCAAAAGCTATGTAAGACGTCCCTTCCAAGAAAAAGGCATATATTTGGGTCACACGGTGTCATTTTAAGACAGTTATGGTGGAAGTTGCGAGTAGCATTTAACGACTAGCTATTTCTTTACCATAATCATGGAATATGAGCCCAGAACGAAGAAATGGTTATATTTCCCCCATTATCTACGTCATTACCAGCACCACCTCACACGATTTCAGTGTCCCAATGTACCTACAAGGAAAATGGCTGTGTGTTCCTTTGTTACTTCAAGAATTACCCCATTGGTTATATGTCAAATATCTTTCTAGCGGAGCATTATACCGAACACAAAAGACACCGGTAACTGCTGGGTAGTTCCGCACAGGAACAATGTGTGACCTTTCTCGTCATTTTTATCCGAAAACGTGTCAAGATACTCTCCAAACAGACAATCCTGCAGTTAAATTACCCGTACATGGCATGGATACGAACCTTATCACTGTGGCGTTCACATGACATAAACGTCAATTACGTCATCGCCTTCGGGCATGATTTAATTAATCAATGTTTGATGTGTAATTGAAACTACCTGATATAGCCCAAGCAGTCATGACTAGCTTCTTGACATAGACGATCGTTGATCAAGCTTTGTCAGACAATGATTCAAATCTTATAAAGAAATCGTTATCTTATAAAATGCCTATTAAATTTGTGAGTGGTACGAAATTACCTGCCAGTGCTAGAACGGAGAGAATGGTGAGAGATCCCATGGCTAGTGGATTGTCCGAGAGTCTTCCTACAAAGTGGCCACTCCTATCTCACAACGCTCGAACACCGGCCAGATGGGTTTTTTTTTCTCTCACTGATAAAGATCGTGTTAGTTCTACACGATTTCGTGTTATTCGGTTAAAGAGACGACGTATTTAATTCTAATTCTTTGACAAGTCTAGATTGTTCCAGTT